TAGAGTTTGCAGGGAGGATGAGGTTCTTCGGTTGAGCCCTGATTTTGCAAAATGCCTTAGGGAGAGAGCGGGAGAGACTCAGCAATTAGCATGTTGACGTTTGTAGAACGGAAGGATCTGGGCAGTGGAAATCCGATTGTTTTGGTCAAGCAGTGGTAACAATTCAGTTAGGCTAAAAGCATATGCAATGGACACAAATATAATACTGGAGACCCTTACACCAACTTATATAGGAATTAAATGCTGGGAGTCATGGATGGTTGGCTGTAATATAATCTTAATAAAATATAATATATACACTTTAAAAAATTATATATTTTATTACACGTTAAAATTGAAAAAAAAAAAAAACTCAATATTATAAGTCTTTATCCTTATCCAAAGATTACTGTTTAAAATAGTTATTCCGTCATCGTATATTCACCAAACATCTGTCTGATTGGTTAGGTGTCATTGGAATAAGTTAATGCTCTCCAGCTGGACAGCATGAAATCTAACTTTTCTCGAAAAGTAGTTGGGGGGTGTAATTGCATCAGATCAGAAATCTTTCTTTAATCTGCGTTCACACTTTGGATTGATGTGTAAAGTCTCAAGGTGAAGTTTGAGGTAAATACTTTGATACTTAAATCAGCAATAATCGGGGTTACTTTTAGAGTGAGGATAAAAAGAGCTTAGGGTTGGTTTAATTACCTTTTTGACGTGGCTCATGGGGGGTATTTATAGGTTTCAGTGAGGAACCCACGTGGTATGCCAAGCAAGATAATCGGAGTCTGACGTGTCTCTCTAAATGGTTATTTCGGGACCAAGAAATTGAGAGATATTCAGATGCAAAGATATCCATCGTAACTGCTATACAGCTTGTCATAAGGAATTAGGTGTGGGCATGCCTATTGTCGCTGTTATGCAGCTGTTTGAGCAGGAAGTTTTGGATTTATCCTTCACTCCGATTATAAAGGAATTACTGCCGTATGTCCGAGGTTGGGCACCTCGAACCTGTCCTTACATTATTCCCCCCCGAAGTCATTCACTTGTGAATGATGTTGTTAGAGATAATGGGAGTAGTGCAAAAATAAAAAGGAAGGGGGACAAAAATATTAAAGATGAGTTACAGAAGTAAAAATGGAAATAAAAATAAAAATATGTAACTCAAATGTATGTATGGCCGTAGCTAATAGTGAAGTATGTGACAGGGGGTCATGTTGGCTATGCCCAAAATAAAATGTGACCGGAGTGATCGTAGCCATAACCACAGTAAAAAATGATGACCAGAGTCATAGTGGTTGGAGCCGTACTAAAAAGTAATGACTGGAGTCATAGTGGCCGGAGCCGTAATAAAAAGTAATGACCAGAGTCATAGTGGCTGGAGCCGTAATAAAAGGTAATGATCGGAGTCATAGTGGCCAGAGTCGTAATAAAGTTCGTGACAAGGAGTCACAATGGCCAGAGTTGAAGTGAAACATATGACAGTAGGTCACTGTGGCTTGGGCCGAAGTGAAACGTGTGACACTGGGTCATTGTGGCCAGAGCCGAAGTGAAACGTGTGACATTGGGTCACTGTGGCAGGAACCAAAGTGAAACGTGTGACACTAGGTCATTGTGGCCGGAGCCGAAGTGACAAATATGACCGGAGTTATTAGATCGATTGCCGAAGTAAAACACTTGCAAAAATTTAGAATGTGTAAAAGTGGACAAGAGTACTGAAATGGGCTTAAGTGGGCCCGTCTGAGTAGCTTGACAAAGGGTTAGTATGTGATATGATAGCTGCCCTTTGAAAGACGTGCGTAATGAATGCGGCTGTAAAAATATAACCGCAACAGTTAAACAGGCAGACTTAAAAAATGAACCGTCGAGTTCGAAACGGTGCCGTTTAGGGTTAACCGTCGAATTTGAAACGGTGTTTTTGTAGCCGTTAAATGGAATTAATCACAGCCGTTGAGACGTATTTTTCCTTTGGTATAAAAGGCAATACTTCTGTAAAAAAGGGTTTTACTTTCGTTATTTCGCTACCAAATTGCTGCTAAACTTCTACGGTTTCGTGCGGTCTGTGCTTTGTTTGAGACTTCAACACCAGTTTCACAAGACCAAAATCAGGTAATGTTTATGAATCTCTGATTTTGATTTTAACGAAGTGTCATTCTTCTTTCTCCCTTTCTGTTTTTGATTTTGAGTCCTTGGAAGGAAGTTAAGGTTGGGAGTGAGAATGACATTATGTGTGTGTTAGAGTTTTTTAAGGGTCCTGACTTCATTCCTCCTCATACTTCATGCAGAAATTGAGGAGATGTCTTCAAAAGGAACAATGAGTGTGGTAGGAAGTGAGGTGATGCCCCTCGAGTATGGCGGCATGGACTCAGAGAGTAGTCCGTCTCCATCTAGTTCAGAAAGGACAGTGGAGGAAAGAAGGGTGCGAGGGGTAGTGGAAGAGGAGGAGGAAGAAATTCCCTCGAATATTATAGAGGTTGAGGGTAATGTAGATAGGTGTTACGACCTAGAGTTAGACATAGTGTCTGAGGTGAGGCAGTATAGGAGTGAATTGGGTAGCAGGGGTAGCCTTAGGGGCCTCGTAGGTAACTATAATCTTCCTCACCACGTTTTAATTAGGCCTGCGGGGTGAATGAGAAAGCGTGCTCAGCACCCCAAGATCACTGGATGCCCATGTATGTCCATTATTTGGCTGCAGGGCTTAGGTTTCCCATTCCAGAGTTAATGGTTGGGTTATTATTAGAGTATAGTATAGGAATAACCCAATTAACCCCCAATGCTATTAGAACAATAATAGGCTTTATAGTATATTGCTGAGCTCGGGGTGTTGAGGTCCCTACTATAAATATGTTCAAACATTTTTTTATAATAAGGGCTGTGGGTAAGAGTGAGAAAGGGTGGTATTACTTCGGACCTCGGACGTCCAACAAAGAGAATAGGAGTTTATTCACTGCTGGACCGTCATCCATTATAGAATGGAAAGAAAAATTCTTCTTTGTGGATGACACCGAGTGGAGTAGGAGGGATGCCGAAATGGAACACTTGTCTGCTTGGAAAGCTAAGAAAACCAAGCAAAACAATTATAAGTTAAATGAGGATGAGGTGGAAAAGGTTGAGAAGCTGGTGAGGGAAGAAGGGGGGTTAGTGGATATCATGTACCTCACCAGTGCGAAGGCGATAGAGGCTACCGAGCTCTATGGGCCAAGCTCATTGAGCGAAGGTTTGTTTATTTTTGCTTTGTACAACTTATTTGGGGTTTCAGTTAGTGTGTTTTGACATTTGTGTTTGTTTTGCAGTTGAGATGGAGGGTTTTCTAAACGTTGCTAGGGGGCTGGCTATCCCAAAGAAGCCAAGGAAGAAGTCAAAGACTTTAAATGTGGCAGACAAGAGGGGCAGCAGAGAAGGAACGCCTGTCCAGCACTTCTACTCGAGCTCTAGAGATGCAGCAAAGGCCAGAGCCTATAAGGAGGAGTAGCGAAGAAGTGAGTGAGGAGGTGGCGCCACTTCAGAGGAAGAAGAGGAAGGTGGTGGAGCCAAAAGTTAGGGGGGATGAAGTGGTGGAATTCGTACCTCGGCCTTCTCCTGCTGAAGTTGATCTTGAAGTCAGGGAGAGGGAGAAGGCCGAGGTGCGAGGCCATGGTAAAGGTAAGGAACTCGTCCCTCCTCCTTCGTTCCAGAAGAGTTTGTTTGAGGTAACAAACATCACTGGGGCGAAGAGGTTTCTCAACGCAACTCTTCCTAAGGTGGATAGGAGGCAGGCAAGGGAAGAGGCGGTGAGTCAACTAGGGGCTCGCGTTGTGAGGCACACCTTGGAGGTATATGAAGAAGTTACAATTTATTTTGTTTTTGATTTTTTTTTTTACTTCTGCGTTTGAGTTCTAACTTCTGCTTGTATTGTAGAGTGCAAACTAGGTAAACGCTCTGGCGCAGGAGTATGCGGAGAGCATGAGAGACTATGCCAGCTTGCAGAGGCAGTGTGAGGAACTGTAGAAAGAGAAGGAGGAGCTGCAGAAAAAGAACAAGGAGATGCAGAAGAAACTGGATGAGGTGGTGCCAACAGTAACTGAAACGATAGAGATACCTTGAGCACGAGACTTATCTTCGAAGAACGTAAGAGGAAGATCTACGAAGACAAGCTCAAGGCTCAAGACAAATACATTGAGAACATGAATAAAGGAGTAGCGGAACTGAAGAAGAACGTGAATCTACTGGTTCACAACGAAATAAAGGAGCACATTAGCAACTTCCTCAACTCCAGCACTTTTGAGAGCATCATCAACCTCTACCGACTGCCGACCGCAATTTTAGTGTTCACCGACTGTAGAAAGAAGGTGAAGGCTCACTATCCTGAAGTGGACGTAACGACGGTCACATTCGGCGAGCAAGAAGAAGGGGTGGAGGAGGACGGTGAAAGTCTTTCTACTGACTTCCAACCTCTGATCAAGTTGAGGTGGGAGCGTGATGCAGAGGGACGCACTATCTTTCCTCCAACCTTTGATGCTGAGCTTGTGGCGATGGAGGAAGAGGAAGAAGTGCAAGATGCTGGAGTTGGGAACCAGGCAGATCTGACCGAAGTCCAGCCTCCCGAAGTTCATCCAGTTTCCTCAGATGAAGTGCAGCCAGCTCCTCTTGTAGCAGAAGTGCCACCTCTACCATCTAGGGATCAGCCACCTCCACCTCCACCTCCTCCTCCTGCTGAGGAGCAACCTCCTTCCTCAGCAGAATAGCTTAGGATTTTGTACTTTTTTTTATTTTTTTTTTAGTTGTGTTTGTAATGAACAACAATTTTGTAATTAGCTTCTTATTGATTTATAAAAATTTTTGAAGTTATTTGTGACTTGCATATTTTGATGTTTGTTTGCTATTTTGTTTCAAGTAAATCACTTCGGACAAAATAAAGTGACCTTAATTAACATAAGGATCTGACCTCGGACACAGTAAAATGGACAGCTAAGGAATTGATTTCGGATATACATGAGGCGGACCTCAAATATACAAATGAAAGGAGACGAAGTAAATCACTCCAAAAGTAAAGTGTAATTGAAAAATCGTAACCCAGAAAGTGAAATGACTAAATAAGTCACTATGAATTAACTTTGGGAATAAGTGAAATTCACTTCCAATGTACAGAAGAGTAGAAAGAACTGAATCATTTCGAATGCGAAGTGAAATTCATTAATGAGATAAATGAATTAAGCTCATATACACATTAGATTGAGCAGAAAGAGAGAGAATAATGACGATTATAAAAATAAGACAAGGTTCACTTAAAAGAAGTGTATTAAGGGTAAAATTTCTTCAAGTTATTGACATTCCAGACTCTAAGAACCCTTTTGCCTTCAGTGTCCCGTAGGATATAAGCACTTGTTATTGACATTCCAAACTCTAAGAACCCTTTTGCCTTCAATGTCCCGTAGGATATAAGCACTTGGGCGCGGCACTTCGGCTATAGTGTAGGGGCCTTCCCAGTTTGGTGCTAACTTTCATAATCGAGTTTCGAACCTCGTTAGACCAGTTTTCCTGAGAACAAGGTCTCCTACTTTGAATGTTCGGGGTCAAACTCGTTTGTTGTAGAAGTTAGCTATTTTCTGCTTGTAAACTAGACTTTGAAGTCGTGCTTCCTCTCTGACTTCGTTAAGTAGATCAAGGTTCTCCCGAAACAGTTGTCCATTTCGTCCTTCATCAAAATGGGTGACCCTGAAGCTTGGGACTCCTATCTCGATAGGAATGACTGCTTCGGTACCAAAGGCCAGGTGATAGGGTGTTTCACCTATTTCAGTTAATTATAATTTTAGAATGTGCTTTACGCATTATGCATATTTGATCTAAGGTAAAGTCGTAGAAGAAGAAGTAAAATAATTTGAAAGTTAATCAAGTAAACCAGGTTTGAAGTAATACCTCTGGCAGTTCGGCTCGTGGTTCTGTATGCCCAGAGGACGTTGTTGAGCTCGTCTGCCCACCTGGCCTTATGCAGCTCTAACCTTGGTTTTATCCCCTCGAGTATAACTTTGTTGATAGATTCTACCATCCCATTAGACTCTAGGTGGTACACCGAGGTGAACTGTAATTTGATCCCATAACTGGAGCAAAAATCTCTAAATGAAAAGCAGTTGAACTGAGTTCCATTATCAGCCACAATCTGATACAGGATCCCATATCTGCAAATGATTGAGCTGAAAACAAAGTCTTCGACCTTCTTGGAGGTAAGACTAGATAATGGCCGAGCTTCAACCCATTTCGTAAAATAATCCACACCAACAATCAGATGGGTTACACCTCCTACCCCCTTCATAAATGGGCCTAAAAGATCAAGTCCCCACTGAGCAAATGGCCAAGGTGCTACCAGATTAGTGAGCTCTTCTGCTGGCTGATGAAGAACTAACATTTCTGATATCTATGTACGAACTAAGTGGCATCTTTATACATGTTGGGCCAATAATATCCTTGTCTAAGGACTTTATGAGCTAAAGTCCGAGCACCAATGTGACTTTCGCAGACACCTTCATACACCTCCCGAAGTGCGTATTCAGCCTCATAAGGGTTCAAGTAGCGGAGTAGAGGGAGTGAGAAAAATCTCTTGTAGAGGACTTCATTAACAAGGGTATACCGAGATGCTTTCTTCCTCAACCTCATCTCTTCTTATTTATCTGCAGGCACTGTGCCATCTCGTAAAAATGAGATAATTAGATCTGTCTAGCTCGGTGTGCTAGGATCTGTGCTGATTTTCCATTATTTTTGGCTTTAGGAAGCTGGGCTTGTCCAGAATGTCAACAAAGACCGATCTGGAGCTTTGGTTGCCATCAAAAGCAAATTGGAGAGGGAATCTGCTTGTTCATTTTCAGCTCAGGGTATTTTGCTCAAATGAAATTTCTGAAATTTGGACTTTAGCTCGGCCACCAGAGTTGCATACTTCATCATAACATGATCAACCACTTCATAGATTGAGTTGACCTAATTGACTACTAGTTGTGAATCACTGTATATTTGTATAGCTGTAACCTTCAGTTCTATTGCCAATTGTAAGCCAAGTAGCAGAGCCTTATATTTAGCCATATTGTTGGTGGCGTCAAAATTAAATTTCAGGGCATGTTCACTTCGGTACCCTTCTGGGCCAAGTAGGATTGCACCAGCGCCAGAACCTTTGTTACTTGATGCTCCATCAACATACAGAATCCAGTTGTCCAGCTCAGGCTGGGAATCAGAGTGAGCCGAGGTGTACTCCACTATGAAATCTGCAAGCGCCTGAGCTCGGATCGCTGACCTCTGCTGAAATGTTATCTCAAACTCTCTCAGTTCAACTGCCCATTTGATCAATCTTCCTGAGCATTCTAGCTTTTGTAAAATTTGTTTGAGGGGTTGGTCTGTGAGGACTATGATTAGATGTGATTGGAAATATGGTCTCAGTTTCCTAGCTGATGTGACAACTGCTAAGGCTGCTTTTTCGGCAATAGAATATCTGATTTCAGCTCCATGTAATACACTGCTAGTATAATAGACTGGCTTTTGTTGCTTCCCTTCTTCTCTTATTAGCACGGAACTGATAGCTTCATCTGATATGTCGAGGTACAAGTAAAGGATTTCTCCATCATTAGTCTTTGTCAGCAAAGGGGGTGAGCTAAGATAAGACTTCAGCTCGTCAAATGCAGCTTGGCATTCTGAATTCCATTCAAATTTCTTTTGTTTGCCAGATTCATCCTTCTAGGTTGCCAATCTCATGATCTTGAAGAATGGCAGGCATTTATCTGTTGATTTCGAGATGAATCTATGAAGAGCTGCCACTCTCCCTGTCAACCTCTGTACATCTTTTACTAACTTCGGTGGTTCCATTTCGGCCATTGCTTTGATCTTCTCGGGGTTAACCTCAATTCCCCTTCTGGACACCATGAAGCCTAGAAATTTTTCGAACTCCACAACGAAGATGCATTTTTCTGGATTCAACATCATTCTGTTCTTTCTGAGATTGTTGAATGTCTCTTCAAGGTCAGTTAAGTGATCTTCTGCTTTCAAACTCTTCACCACGATATCATCAACATAAACTTCCAGATTTCGGCCTATTTGGGCTCGGAATACAATGGTAACCATCTTTTAGTAAGTGACACTTGCGTTCTTTAAGCCGAAAGGCATCATCACGTAGCAATAGATTTCGTCTCCGGCATAGAACGAGGTTTTTTCTTCATCCTCAGAGCCATCGGAACCTGGTGATAACCAGAGTATGCATCCAAGAGACTTAATCTCTCGTTTCCAGAAGCTGCTTCAACTAGCTTGTCAATGTTTGGCATTGGGTAACAATCTTTTGGACATGCCTGGTTGAGGTTAGTGTAATTGATGCACATCCGCCATTTGCCATTTGCTTTTTTCACCAACACAGGATCGGCGACCCATTCACAGTAATCGACCCGTCTGACGAAGCCAGCTTGTAAAAGTTTTTCAACTTCTTCTTTGATAACCTTTAACCTCTCCCCCCCAAAGAGGCGTCGCTTCTGGGCCACTGGTCTCTTGAGTGAATTAGTGCTGAGTTTGTGTTGAGATACCGAGGTGGGAATTCCTGGCATGTCTGCTGAGGTCTATGTGAAAACATCTTTGTTAGCTCGGAGAAAGGTTATCAACTGTGCTCTTTCCTTAGGGCTCAACCGAGTTCCTATCTGTGTTTTCCTATTCGGGTCTTTTTCATCAATCTGTACCTCCTCAACATCTTCACCCGGAGCAGCTCGGGTTTCATCCTTAGGTCGGTTATCAAGGATTTCAACCCCCATCACTTGCCGATTGTCATGGATTTCTGGTGGAGGGTTTTTTGCTGGTTGATCTTTATTTTTTTGTGGCCTTGTAACCGAAGTGAGATAGCAATGTCTGGCCACTTCCTAGTTACCTCTGAGTGTTGCAATTCCCATGGGGTTTGAAAATTTCATGCAGAGATGAGATTGAGAGACCACAGCTCGGATCTCTGTTAATGTGGGCCGGCCAATGACAACGTTAAAAGAAGAAGGCATCTTGACCACCAGAAACTGAACTGAAGGAGTCACATAGGTTCGGCCACTTCCAAATGCAACATTCAAGGTTAGGACCCCTTCAACTGGAACTGATTGGTTGTTGAAGCCATATATGGGACCATCGTAACGTTGTAGCAGAGCTGGGTCGAGTCTTAGGCTCTCAAAACAGTGGTTGTACATGATGTTAGGTGCGCTACCAGTATCAACAAGTACACGCTGAACTTGACAATTGTTGATCATCACTGAGGTGACCAAAGGGTCGTTGTGAGGTGTTACCACCCCTTCAAAATCAGCGGGTGTAAAAGTGATTGGTTGAGCTTTCTAATTAGCATCATCAAGTTTCCTTTTCTAAGCTCGGTTCTGGTGCTTGACCTCTCTGACATATAACTTCCTTTGTTCGAAGCTCATCCCTCCTGCTTCCAATCCTCTTGTAATCATGTGTATAATTCTGGCTGGGGGTGGAAGTGGAGGTGGGCAACATTCCTTTCTGGGCTAGACTTTCCAGCTCGGACCTCAGGCTATTGCATTGCTTTGTTGTATGACCGTGATCTTGATGAAAATCACAATATCTAGTATGATCTCGGCTAGTAGCAACAGTTCACATTGGGCTCGGACGACTTAAGTCCATCTTATTCTTAATCTACATGAAGATTTGTGACCTCAGCAAGTTAAAAGGGGTCTAAGTAACTGGAGGTTTACCTACAGATTGTTGTGGGGGTGCTGAGTTCGGCCTTCCAAATCTCGATATGGAGGTTGACATCGAACCTCGGTTTTGTGCCGTCCTCATCTGTTTCCTGTTCTGATTCTCATCTCTCCAGTATGGGTTTTGGTTCTGAAAGGGAGTTGGCTTCTGCGACAAGGCATACTCCTTAGCAATTATGAATTTGAGGGATCTATCATTCACCTCGCTAAAGGTGGTGGCAGGATGCTTGAGCAGACTATCTCTGAATCTCTCATGGTTAAGGCCTGAGATCACAGTTGCAATTCCCACAGCCTGGTCGAAGGAGCTAACTTCTAGTACTGCATCATTGAATCCGCTCATATAATTCTTCAAAGATTCTCCGTCCCTCTATTTGACTCGCTTCAGCTCAAAAGTAGTTTTCCTGATCAACCTTCTACTGGAAAACTTTGTGGCAAAAGCAGATGCCATTTCTGTATAAGAGCTGATTAACCTCAGAGGTAGATTGTAATACCAGGTTCGAGCATTACCTCGGAGAGTAGAGGGAAAGATTTTGCACATCAACGCGTAAGAGGTGTTCTGAGCTTGCATGCAAGAGTAGAAAGCATGTAGGTGATCATTGGGATCCTTCGTCCCATCATAAGTCTCAAGTTAAGGTATTTTGAAGCTAGCAGGATAGGGTTCCAATGTGATGTTGGTGTTCAAAGGATGGGATATGGAGTCAGCAGTATGGTGTGGAGGTGGGGCTCCTCGCTGTTCAGCTACCAGTTTTTCTAAACTGTCCAGACGTTGAGTGACATCATAAGGAAGGGGTTGCTGAGCTGGTGCTATGTGAGATTAACCCTGAGATTCACTAAGAGCAAGAGCATGCTAAACTGGTTCAGGGTTTTGTTGTGGAGCTGGGGGTTATGGAGCAGGGTTAAGTAAATTGATGAGGGGATCACCAAGGTTGTTCCGAGCTAAAAGCTGAGCTAATACTAGCTGAAAGACACCAAACTGTTGTTGCATGGCAGCAAGCTGAGCTGCAACTACGTTTTGGTTGGTAGTAGAAGCTGAGTTGTGAGCTGAGTTATGTGGTTGGTTTTCATCTCCTCCTTCTGCATGATCAACAGGAGGGAACATATTTGGGATCTGAGGTGGAAGCTGAGGTGGAAGGTTGTTGGGGAGTTGACCTTGTCCAAAAGGCTGAGATGGATTTCCAGCTCGGACTGATCGAGTGTTAACCATTATGAGTGAGCAACAAGAGAGCTTTCAGTTCGGATTCCCACAGACGGCGCCAAATGTAATTGCACCAAACCAGAAATCCTTCTTCAGTCCGCATTCGTACTTCGGATTGACCTGCAAAGCCCCGAGGTGGAACTCGGGGTAGACACTCCGATGCTTAAGTCAGCAATAATCGGGGTTACCTTTGGAGTGAGGATAAAAGGAGCTTAGGGTTGGTTTCAATTACCTTTTTGACGTGGCCCCTGGGGGGTATTTATAGGCTTTAGTGAGGAACCCACGTGGCATGCCAAGCAAGATAATCAGAGTTTGACGTGTCTCTCCAAACAATTATTTCGGGACCGAGAAATTGAGAGATATTCAGATGCAATGATGTCCATCGTAACTGCTGTGCAGCTTGTCATAAGGAATCAGGTGTGGGCATGCCTATTGTCGTTGTCATGCAGCTGTTTGAGCGGGAAGTTTTGGATTTATCCTTCAGTCCGGTTATAAAGGAATTACTACCGTATGTCCGAGGTTAGGCACCTTGGACTTGTCCTTACAGGAGGGAAGTTTCATTTTTACCCCATTCCTTTTAGA